GATAGATAGATAGATAGATAGATAGATAGATAGATAGATAGATAGATAGATAGAGCAGCCAGGGTCGATCTCCTCTAGGACTGACCGGTTGGATGGCCTTGCAGTCCAAGGGACTCACAGGAGGTAGGTAGTTAGGTAGGTTAGGTAGGTTAGGTAGGTAGGTAGGTGGGTGGGTGGGTGGATGGATGGATGGATGGATGATAGAGCAGTCAGGGTTGATCTCCTCTAGGACTGACCGGTTGGATGGCCTTGCAGTCCAAGGGACTCAATGCAGCAGGAGTCTTCTCCAGCACCAGAGTTCAAAGGCCTCCATTCTTTGCCCCTCAGCCTTCCTTATGATCCAACCTTCACAGCCGTCTGTTGCAACTGGGAAAACCATCGCCTTGAACAGGCGCACTTTTGTTGGCAGGGTGATGCCTCTGCTTTTTAGTAGGCTGTCTGGATTTGCCATTACTTTCCTCCCTGCGAGCAAGCCTCTTTTAATTTCTTGGTGATAATTAGCTGTAAAGAAATGGCCGCAGAAAATAATGATTCATTGCTTGTGCTTTTCCACTGTCATGGAAAGCTCTGCCTTTTCAGCAGTCTGAGTCCTAAGAAGAAAAGGGCAGCCATGTCAGATGGAGGTTCCTGGAGATGATTGAATTTGCAGAAGTTTAAGGAGGCTGGCGTGTGGGCCATGACGTTGCTGACAATTCTGAGTCTGCACAAAACTTCACCACACCTCCCTTGATAAATTATACTACACTCAGCCAGGAGCCACGGCTTCCAAAATACCGAACTAAAACCAAGTGAACCATAGTGGGGCACACAGGGTATCTAAATCCAGATACTGCATTGCATTCTGAATTAAGCCGTCAAGTGTTTTTATCCAGGTCTGTTAAACAAATAGTGAAGCTATGTTCCTGTGAGCCCTAAATCGTGGCTTACAAATCAGTATGCCTGCACAAATGTGTATTTGTGTCATTGTGCACCAACAATGGCGTCAGGTGCCTAAACATAATACACAGACTAGGGTTAAAGGCCATGCTTAATTGATGTGGGGCGTGCAGTTTCTGTGACTGTGACCTGTTGCACAAGGCATCTGGAAGACCGAGTCAAGTAAGAAGTAAAAAAGAAACACAGTCAATATTTTGTTCTTTGTTTATTTAGAGGGATTTAGAAATCCAGCCTCTCGCCCTTTGTTCCAGATTCGCTGTGTTGTATATATCCAGGGGGGAAAAACAATCCTGTGTGCGCATGTGTTGGTTTTCTAAACAGAACAGCAACCGCAGAATTATATAAATGTGCAAACTCACCCTAAGGGTGGCGGCTCCCCCCCCCCCCCCCTTTTGATTGAATTCTGTAGGATGCGGCTATTTGTGGTGGCTTGGAGGGGGAGGATCTGCAAAATGGCGAATCAGCAGCCGGATCTTGTTTTACTTCCTCTTCCCCCCCTCCCCCCCCATCACCATCACCTCCCTGGAGCTGCATGGAATTTTCCTCCATCCAGGCTTGTGCGTAGGGTGAGTGTGTGGATGCGTGAGAGTTCAATTCCAGGATTTTTGGAGGGCACCGAAAGGAAAGAAGGCACCCAGAGCTTTCTCTGTGTGCCTGCCTTCTATGAGGTGAGATTAACAGGCGCAAGGGGGTTGGCTAGAGGGACACCCTCTTTAGGAGTGCCTGGATCTGTGGGACTGCCCTAGCTAGTTTGCAAGAATCCAGACAGCCACTAAGTGGCCAGCAAACGGAATACAGAAAGCCCTGCGTCCTTGTTCCATGGTCTGGAGTTTGCACTCAGATACGGCTTTGCACCCTTTCCTTTACCTCTTTTTCTATTTGGCGTGGTTGTCCGGTGTTGCGTTAATTCATTGTCGTTCGAGAGTCTAGCAATAATACCGTCATAAAACATCTCAAAAGCTCTTTGATGGCCCCACGATCAACGCGAAAGAATTCAGTCAGCCCCAAGGAGCACAAAGCAGAAAAGAGGCCAGGACAGAAGGAATGTGATGGGGAGGGTGGAAGGCATGGAACAAACTGTAAGAGAGCCGATGCATACTGTACTTCATTGAATATTGTTACCTAAGTAGCTACGAGTACTGTTTCTTCCCCCTGTAAAAAAGCAGACAATAAATCCTAATAAAGATGATCACATCAAGGCGTACCCATTGGGGAAATAGGCATTTGGCCGAGGAAGGTCCAGGCTTTAAATACACGTTTTTCTCCATGGCTACACGTGCAGTGCAGTATCTGCTTGTGCCCACGGCCATGTTAGCAATAAAAAGGTGGGATCTTATATCTAGGATAAGAGTGGGAGGATGGGGTGGCTTGGTGCAGGTCTGCAGTTTTGGAGCAGAGAATCTTAAGTCAGTTTCCAGCCAGATCCTAGAGTTAGGAAGTGCTAAGATCAAGGCCAGAAACACTTCCTGTTACTAGAGAATCTGATCTCTCTTCTATTCCCCTAGATATGTGAAATGTTTGTTGCTGTTTGTAACTATTTAAGTGACAGTAAGAACAACAAAAAGACGTTTCTTCAAAATTGAAACTGATCAGAATAAGCTAAGGAGCACAATGTCTCAAGAATGACTCTCTGGACATTGAATATCAAAATTAAGACAGCTGCTAGACTTAACCTTCAATAAGTGTCATCCTTCAGCCTAAATCAGTTTTGGTAAGCAAAAAAAATATATATTTCTAATTATAAACATACTAAATGTGTGTAGAATAAATATTTAATACAAAATAGAATATATCAATTGAATATATTGATTGTTAGCGTTTATCCTGACTTTGCTCTTGTACTTTGTTGCTACAGTGTTCCCAGGCTGGATTTGGGAGCCACACCCAACATAGAAAATGCCTAAACGAAAATGCGTCTTTACTGACAAACTGAAGCAGAAATATCCTCATTTCCGCAAAGGTAGAGATGACTATGAAGCGGAGTGCTTGGTCTGCAAAGCTGGCACATTTGTGTCAGTTGCACATAAAGGTGCCAGTGACCTGGACTACCACATGTCCTCCGAAAAGCACAAGAAAGCTCTTGGAGGAGATAGTTGGTCTGCAAAGCTGACCGAATTTCTGGGGACTCCAGGCACGAAAGCTGAGGATGCTCTTGCTGCAGCGGACAGCATGCTACCCTTGCACACCATCCCAAGTTGCAACAGTTACAAAACAACAGGCCGCACGTCTGAGTTGTTCAGAAAAATATTTCCTGACACAGAGATAGCGCAGAAATTTTCCAACACCTGGACCAGGACAGATAGTCTCGAGAACTCTGTGCTTGCCCAACATGCAGTGAGCCTTGACCTGAAGGCCCTGGAGGAACACGGCATCCCTTTCTGTGGGGTGGCTATAGATGACAGCAGCCACAGGGCCCTGAAAATGGTCCCGGTACTCATCCAATATTACGACTACAGGAACGGCGGCTTGAAGACCAAACTCCTGGAACTCCAGGAAAGTCCCACTGAGATGGATCTTTCAGACTCTCTGGTCAAAGCTCTTAAGAAACACAGGTTGCTTCAGAAGTGTGTGGCGTTCGCGGGGGACAACTGCAACACCATGTTTGGTGACGTTGGGCAAGAGGAGGAGGCGAGGGTCGTGTTCACCAGGCTGAAGAAATCCCTCCAGAGAGAGACGTTGATCGGGGTGCACTGCCCTGCCCACGTTTTGCACAACTGCATCCACCACGGAGCAGACGCCCTCGAGGTGGACGTTGAGAACATCATCCTCAAGATCTACCAGTACTTCCACATCTACGCGGTGCGGACGGAGCCCCTGCAAGAATACTGTGACTTTGTGGAGGTGGAATACAAGCGGCTGCTCTCCCACGTCAGGACCCGCTGGCTCTCCTTGTTCCCAGGCATCACGAAGCTGCTCCAGATGCATTCGGCCCTGAAGTCCTTCTTCTTGAGCCAGAGCAACCCGCCCGCCGTGCTCAAGAGCTTCTTTGAGCACGAGTTCGGGGAGCTCTACCTTTGGCACATGCACTCGCTGATGAACGCCTTCCATTTGCACATCGAGGAGATGGAGCGGGAAAATAACTCCCTGGTGGAGGTGATGAAGACGCTGGACTCCGTGCACACCATCCTGCTTGACCGTCGAGCCCAGAACTTCATGTCCCTGACGGTGAAGGGGATGCTTGCCGACAAGCGCAAGGAGGGCCTGGAGGCCGGATGTGATGCCTTCTCCGAGGCCGTGCGTCGCCTCTACAGTCACTGCATCGACTACCTGGAGATGTGGATGGCGTCACTGCAAGAGTTTTCCTGCTTCGCCTGGATGGCCCTGAGTGACACACCCAGCTGGAGTGACGTGGAAGCGTGTATCACGTATTTGATTGAGAAAGGCGTCGAGATTGATGACATCAGGTGTTTTGATCAGTTCAACAACCTGAAAAAATTTGTGGAAGCTTCCAGCGATGAAGAGGAGTTCCAGCATCTGCTTTCACATCAAAAGTGGACCAAATACTTCCTGAAGGCCAAAGCCATCGAATGGTATTCAGAACTGTTAAAAATTGCCCAGTTCTTCTTCGCAATTCCCTCCCACAGTATAAATATGGAATGGAGCACTTCTTTTCATTGATACGAGACCTGTGGGGCAAGGAAAGGGCCTGTTCAAACGGCCAACCATTTAATTTTAAAAATAACTGTTGGAAACATTTTTTTGTGCATGCTTTGCTCTAAAGAGAAAGGCTATGTGTCTTTTGGGGTGTACCATCTGTGCACAGTAGAGTTTTAGGGCAGCAGCCCCCCAACCTTTTGGGTGTCGGCGTTCCATGGAACCTGAAGTGAACCTGGCTGAGCCCCATCCTGGAGGCTTCAGGGACCAGTTCTGGGGAGAATGGTTTTTCTGTGGACTGAAGTGGGTATGGTTTCACATGCTGCCTACATCCCGTGGATGGGGCTTTGCTCGATTGTGTTGCCCAGACCGATGCCATTCCATGGACTGGGGTGGGGGTGAGGGTTGAAGATTCCTGCTTAGAATATCATCTATAATTAGAAGTATCTGTAATAGTTGTTCTGTTTCTGTTGTTAGTCGTGGCCTTTAACCTCTTTACTGATTCATAAATCTTTCCCTTGAACCAGGTTTGGGATGGATAGCAAAATTGAAGGGGGGAAAACTCTTTTTCGCAAGTTATTTTTACTTTCGAAGGCAGTTTTGCGATGTCACGAAGTTGGCAGCCTCACGGGGTAGTGCAGAACAAGATGTTCTGCAATCTGGAATCTTCTCCCTGAGTTCTGCTGTAAAGGTTCAATAACATCTGAAAAGCAGCAGTCTTTTAGGAGCTGAGACTTCATTTCCAAGCTTAATAGCTCTTTCACTTCTTAATAGCTGAACTGATGGATAAAGTGGACATGCTACCCTGTTTCCCTGAAAATAAGCCCTCTCCGGATAATAAGCTTATTGGGCTTATTATCCGGGGATATAATAAGCCCGGATAATAGCTTATGTATAAGCTATTATAAATAGCTTATTTATAAGAGCAACCAAGATGATTAGGGGAACGGTTTCAGGAACTGGGTAGCCTATTGAAAAGAAGGACTGGGGTGACATGATAGCAGCCTTCCAATATCTGAGGGGTTGTTACAAAGGAGAGGGAGTCAACCTTTTCTCCAAAGCATCTGAAGGCAGGAGAAATAACAGGTGGAAACTTGTCAAGAAGAGGTCCAACTTAGAACTAAGGAGGAATTTCCTGACAGTGAGAACAATTAACCAGTTGGAACGGATTGCCTTCAGAAGTTGTGGGCGCTCCATCTTTGGAGGATTTTAAGAAGAGATTGGGCAGCCATTTATTTGTCTCGCATTTGTGTCAAGTCTCCTGCTTGAGTAGGGAGTTGGACTAGAAGACGTTCAAGGTCCCTTCCAATTGTGATATTCTGTTCTGTACTAGCTGATAACCCAGGTATTTATTTATGCTAATCCTGCATTAGACAGGAAAAGGAATTAATTACATCCGTAGTGTCAAGTCAAAGTAATGCTGAAACACACACACACACACACACACCAAAGGGGTGTTAGGGGTATCTTACCCCCCCATAGTATTTGTTTCCAGAGAGTAAGTCATCTGTGTACCAAGTGTGGTTGAAATTTGTTCGAGGTGTTCCAGAGTTATGCTGGTGTACACACACACACGCATACACACAGCCATTTTTAGATAGATAGATAGAAGATTCTGTCCTTGCTCCTCTGGCCATGGGAGTTATACATTTGGAAGGCAGTGGGCGGGGCTGTTACAAGATTGTGTATTAGTTAAAGAGGCTGGTGAACACACATCACTGTGTTTTAAGCCTGTAATATAAAGGGGTGGTTATTATAGGATGGTGAATCCTTTCTGCATTGCTTCTCGTATGTCGTGTGTGTACAATTTTCCTAGCTCAGTTATTGACTAAACCTATTTATGTGGCTTTATAGAAAATAAACAGGAAACCATAAAAAGTGCTCCCAAGAGAGATATAAATCAAGTTTAACCCATGAATCCCTACTCTAATCTGATTGGAGATTAGATTTCTAATCTAATCTCATTTTAAAAAACAAAACAACCTAATTCCATTGTATCCATGATATGCAATGATGATAAAGGCTATACTATTGGGTTAAATGCATTGTACAAGCAGGGAACAAATACCTATACCAAGTTTTATGGATGCTTATGATCACAAGGTAGCTGACTCAGGCGTCAGTTGGACTTGCAAGCTGGTTTGAGCCCTTACAATAAATACATTTGATCATTTCTGCTTAAGATGACTTCTCTTCCTACGAATCCAAAGAGGGAGGGAAGGGGAGAAGGAAGAGCAAGCTGAAAAGCCGACATGCTAGCCCTTTGTGTTAAAATCCTTTACAGCTGATGTTGTTTCCACACTAAACATCATACAAAAGGATGAAGCCAGTGGGGGGGGGGGGGGGAAGCACATTTTGTATCCCTGAGCTGGGAGCTGCAAGGCTGATCCGGAGGATGAGTCACGGGCTCCCCAGGGGCCTCTATGATTAGGCCAGACCTGCTGCTTCTGATGCTATTTGGGACTCGGATCCCGCCTGCCTGTGACACAGTCCAACAGGAAGTGGTGTGTGCTGAATGGAAACAACAAACGCTGTTCAATCCCTGACTGGTTTCTCCTGCTTGGCTTCAGGTAATGGATGGATTCATACAATATCCTAACTTCGAAATCCAGGTGGCTGGAAATGCAGCGCTGCTTCTGTTCCCAGAACATGTCATGTCCCAGGTAAATAACATACTGACTTAAATACAGGTAGTTCTCGACTTAACAACAGTTCACTTACTGACCGTTCACGGTTTTAAAACAGCACTGAAAAAAGTGACATAGAAGCCCTTTTCACATGACTATTGCAGCATCCCCTGGTCACGTGATCAAAATTCAGATGCTTGCCAACTGACTCAGGTGACACATGCGGTGTGCCAGGAGGAAGTGATCCCCTTTTTGTAACCTGATAAAGTCAACAAGGCAGCCAGATTCAATTAACAGCCATTGTGACTAATAACTGCAGTGGTTCACTTAAGAAACGTGTGGTAAAGCTCTCTTAGGAAATTTCTCAGTAACATAAATGTCGGGCTTAATTGAGGTCGTAAGTCGAGGACTACCTGTATTGAGAACTTGTTCCTACAATATACTGGACCAAAAATGATGCAATCTTATTTTAAAGAGAACCATAGAAGAGACCATTATGCTATCCGGTGATGCAATTCAATTTTTTTTACTACCGGTTCTATGGGTGTGGCAGGGAAAGGTGCCCATGCAGAATCCCCATTCCCTCCCAATCAGCTGAGACTCAGGAGGGGGCAGGGCCAGTCAGAGGTGGTATTTACCCGTTCTCAGAACTACTCAAAATTTCCACTCCCAGTTCTTCAGAACCTGCTGAATACCAACCTCTGATGCTAATCTAGTCTAATTTCTTCTGTGTATAGAAAGTACCTCTGGCAAATGAGCTACAAAAAATTGTAGAAAATTCATTTCTGATTCACGGGTTAAGTTCCTATAACACATCCAACTTTGTTCCTGTGTTACATCATTTTCTGGTTTTGCCCAATACAAACTGGACTGAGCTGGTTGCAGATTATACACTCAACCTAATCCTGGTTAAAACTGGGGAGGATTAGCCTGACTTGTGAATGCAGCTTTTTAGGTCTTGGACTAACCTAGGTAAAGATTCCTCCCTTGCACATATGTGCTAGTCGTTCCTGGCTCTAGGGGGCAGTGCTATCTCTGTTTCAAAGCCGAAGAGCCAGCGCTGTCCGAAGACGACTCCGTGGTCATGTGGATGGCATGACTAAACACCAAAGGCGCATGGAACGCTGTTCCCTTCCCACCAAAGGTGGTTCTTATTTTTCTACTTGCATTTTTTACGTGCTTTCGAACTGCTAGGTTGGCAGAAGCTGGGAGAAGCAATGGGAGCTCACTCTGTTATGCGGCACTAGGGATTCGAACTGCCAACCTTCTGATTGACAAGCTCAGCATCTTAGCCACTGAGCCACCACGCCCCTATTGGACTAACCTAGTGATGAGCAAACCTATCTTTGTCAGGGGAAACCAGTAACTTGGGAGGGGAAATCCTGCTTCTGTTAACGTTTGGGCAGCCGCCTCCAACATCCTACCCATTCTAGCTCTCTTTGTCACACCCCAATCATCTTTATCATCTACAGACAGAAAGACGTGCAAACTGGGAGGTGAATTATGGGTCACGTCACCCTCAGCAGAGATCAGGCATGCTGCCCCGTGCTCTGCATCCTCTGGGTGAGTCACCACAAAGTGATCTGCAGAAGTGATGACTGTCCATCCTGCACACCATACCTTTGGCTGCAGCCGGGCTCCACAAAGCAGGAAGAACACAATTATCTTTGCCACGTCTGCATCCCTCCCCTAAACTGAGCTTCGCAAACTCTGCTGTGCTTTTTGAAGAGGCAACCGGAGTTTCCGGTTTTTCTTTGAAGATGTTTCGCTTCTCATCCCAGATGCTTCTTCAGCTCTGCCTTCCTGCGCAAAAGGTTAATCATAATCGAGAGGGAAAGGACCTCGGAGGTCTTCTAGTCCATCCCGCTGCTCAGGCAGACCACCATTCCAGACAAGTGACTGTCCGGTCTCTTCTTGAAAATCTCCAATAATGGAGCACCCACAACCTCTGGTGGCAACCTGTTCCACTGGCTAATTGTTCTCACTGCGAGGAAGTTGCTCCTTAATCCCAGGCTGCTTCCCTCCTTGATTAGTTTCCATCCATTGCTTCTTGTCCTGCCTGCTGGTGCTTTGGAGAATAGGCTGACCCCCCCTTCTTTGGGGCAGCCCCTCAAATACTGGGACACTGCTATCATGTGTGTCCCCCCCCCCCGTCTTTCTTTTCTTTAAACTAGGAATTCTTTAAATTCCTGCAGCCGTTCTTCATAGGTTTTTGTCTCCAGGCCCTTAATCGACTTAGTTGCTCTTCTTTGCACTTTTTCCAAAGCCTCAACCATCTTTGCTTTCGCGAAGTCCACAGGTTATAGGCGGATTTCCCAAAGCAATACTAGTCTTTTTTTCAAACTTGTCTTAAGCATTAAACGGAAGGCTTGGCAACCCTGAGGACTGCAAACTCCAGAGGTTTATGGCCTTTTAGCAGAGTCTAGAAATTTGCAGCAGCTGCTCACCCCCCTCTGGTGGACCAGTTTGGGAACAGCAACAAGGATCCTCACCCATCAAGTGTTTGTAAACAGTTGCAGCATGCCCGGTAATGCCAATCACAGCTGCCCCTTCGGGGCATGATTCCTTATCCTTTTCAAAATCGGTGTCAGACCTGCCCCAGCTGAGTCACTAGAAAAGAAAGACCCTCGATTCCATTTGGTTGAAGTGACAAGAAGTTCTTTTACAAATGGTTATTGGTAGCAGTGAGAGGAGGCTAGAACTAAAGTTCCTGCGCAAAAGGATGAATCAGAATAGAGCTGGAAGGGACCTTGGAGGTCTTCTAGTCCAACCCACTCCCGCCGCTTAAGCAGGAGACCCTAGACCATTTCAGACAGGTGGCTGTCCAGTCTATTCTTAAAAACTTCCAGGGATGGAAGCCCCTATAACTTCTGAAAGCAAACTGTTCCAATGAATTGTCCTCACAACCCATGGACTTTGCTTCTCAGGTCGTAAAAGTGGATCACATGGCCCCGGGACACTGCAAACCCAAATAAAAGTGAGTCAGTTGTCAAGCATCCAAATGTAACTCACATAACGACGAGGATGCTGCAATGGGATAAGTCATTTTTTTCAGTACCGTTGCAACTTTGAACGGTCGCTAAATGAACTTGTAAGTCGAGGACTACCTGCATAATTCATATATGCTGGACATTGTGGAAAACCAAAGTCTAGGTTTAGTATGGTAAGCATGTTTATAGAAACTCAGCCATTTTCTGAAACACTTCACTGCTTGTAGAAATTCTGCTCATTATTTTATCATTCTAATTTTGGGTGGGATGGAGATATTAAGGTAAAGGCTCCCCTCATACATATGTGCTAGTCGTTCCTGACTCTAGGGGGCAATGCTCATCTCCGTTTCAAAGCCGAAGAGCCAGCGCTGTCCGAAGACGTCTCCGTGGTCATGTGGCCGGCATGACTCAATGCCGAAGGCCCACGGAACGCTGTTCCCTTCCCACCAAAGGTGGCGCCTACTTTTCAACTTGCATTTTTAACGTGCTTTCGAATGGCTAGGTTGGCAGAAGCTGGGACAAGGAACAGGAGCTCACTCTGTTACGTGGCGCTAGGGATTCGAATCGCCAAATTGCCGACCTTTCTGATCGATCTCAGTGTCTTAGCCACCGAGCCCCTGCGTCCCTGTGGAGATATTACACACACGCATATTGGCTATGTGATGCTTCCCCCCGCCCCAATTGTAACTTACTACATGTCCAAACACAGACATCCTATTTTGTTAATGTAGACCTATCCACTTCCCGTGACTGCAATGGAAGGTCACATCACATTTTCAGCCTTTAAAACACCCTTTTCTGCTAATCTGAGCAGCCAAAATTAATTGTGGCTTAGCCAAACATGAATTTAATTAGTGCCAGCACTCGGGGAAACTAATCAATTCAAAGGAATGTCACGCAGGTGTGTTTTTTTAATTCTTGTTTTTATTGCAACACCTCCCTAGGTAAAAGTCAACAGGTGGACAAACAAGAGCCTGAAAATGGAAGTCTGTTTGTTTTAAAGGGGGGGGGGGATGGACTCTTTTTTCCAAACAGAAATTCAGAGGGGGATACAAACCAGCGATCACCCAGATGCATTTCTCTTGGTGTTGGACAAAAGAGAAGCCAGTAGCCCCCAAAACAGCGCAGAAATTTCCAGGCACAGAGGAAAGAGACCCTCCTCAAATATACAGTCCATTGCAAAAAAAAAGAAAAGGGGTCATTTTATCATTCTGCCCCCCACACCACCTCAAAATGCCTCCCCTTCCCTCAAACAGAGTCTCATTCCAAAGGTTTGAGCTACAAACAACTCTGATTCACACAGAAGATGGGGATTGTGACATAATCCTCCCCCCCCAAATCATACAGAAGCAGGAAGAAATCAGCAATTGAGGATTACAACTCGTGGCCAAATAAGTTTGGAGGGGGAAAATGTAACACATGCAAGCAAGGAGAACGGATCTCTTACGGCAGCTCTGCTGCAATGCTAGGAACAAACTCAAACATCTGGATTTAAGGTAGCTTGGTAGATTCTTGACGGCCCCAACCCTTGTAAGACTGAGCACAGGAATGAAGTCGGACACTGTAAGGAAATCTACACAGGGAGTTGGAGGTAGAGCAGCAAGTACAACCTGGAGGCAGAGTCAAGGCTGCTGGCCTTTGAGTCAACTTGCCCCCAAAGTGATCTGGTCCCCTTTCTACCCCAGGAACAAAAATGGGGATCACCCCTGTTCTAAGTTCTCAGCTGCCCGTACCGCTGAGTAGGAGGTAGGGGCGTTCGACAGCTGGCGGCCAAAGAAGGATGTCGTACGACGAGGTTTCACCCGCTTGATCTCTTTCCCTGGAGCAAGGAAGAAGCAGAGACATGTATAAGTAGAGATAAGAGCACGAAGCAATAGCACTTAAGACTTATATACCACTTCAGAATGTGTTGACAGCCCTCTATAAGCGGTTTACAGAATCAGCACATCGCCCCCAACAACCTGGGACCTCGGAAGGATGGAAGGCTGAGTCAACCTTGATTTGGTCAGAATCGAACTGCTGGCAGTAGGTAGAATTAGTCTGCAACACAGCACTCTCTAAGGGGTTTACAGAAGCAGCGTATTGCCGCAACAACCTGGGCCCTCATTTTACTGACCTCAGAAGGATGAAAGGCTGATCCGGTCAGAATCGAACTGCTGGCAGTGGGCAGAATTAGTCTGCAATACTGCATTCTAACCACTATGACACCATGGCAGGAATACCATAGCAGAACAATAAGCAATAGCACTTAAGACTTATATACCACTTCATGGTGATTTACAACCCTCTCTGTAAACAAGTTTACAGAGTCAACCTCTTGCCCCCAACCATCTGGGTGCTCATTTTACCGATCTCGGAGGACAGCAGACTGAGTCAATCTTGAGCCAGTGAGAACTGAACTGCCGGCAGTCAGCAGAAGTAGCCTGCAATGCTGCATTCTAGGCACTGTGCCACCACACCATATACCAACCCTACAACAATCAGTGTCTGGGTTCATACATCACAGCCTAACCAGGGTTTGTTGACCACATATCGGTTGGTGCGCAAAGCTGGGAACTATAATTTACAAATCCTATTGGCAGGAATCAGGCAATCGGCAAAATTTTTTTTTTAGCCCCGTGAGCACACTGGGATTTTAGACAGCCTATTTACAAATTTGCTTTCCATTTTTTTTAAAATTCAGATTTAACAGAGTCGGAAGGGACCTTGTAGGTCATCTAGTCCACCCCCCCTGCCCAAGCAGGAGACCCTACACCATTTCTGACTGGTGGCAGTCCAGTCTCTTCTTGAAAGCCTCCAGGGATGAAGCTCCCACAACCTCCGAAGGCAACTTCTCTTCCATGGGTTGATCGTTCTCACTGTCAGGAAATTTCTCCTTATTTCCAGGTTGAATCTCTCCTTGATCAGTTTCCATCCATATTATTTCTTGTCTGGCCTTCAGGTGCTTTCGAAAATAGCTCGTCTCCTTCCTCCTCTCTGTGGCAGCCCCTCAACTATTGGAAGATGCTCTCCTGTCTCCCCTGGTCCTTCTCTTCCCTCGACTAGCCAGGCCCAGTTCCTGCAACCGTCCATCGTAGGTTTTGGCCTCCAGTCCCCTCATCATCCTGGTTGCTCTTCTCTGCCCTCTTTCTAGAGTCTTAACCTCTTTTTCATAGTGTGGTGACCAAAACTGGATAAAGGATTCTAGGTGTGGTCGTACTAAGGCTTTATAGAGTGGTATTAGCACCTCCCTTGATCTTGATTTTATCCCTCTGTTAACGCAGCTTAGGATTGCATTGGCTTTTTTGGCTGCCGCCGCACACAACTGACTCCTATTGAGCTGGTTGTCCACTAAGACTGCAAGATCCCTCTCACAGCTACCCACAGTTTCCCCAGCTTACCTTCCTCAACGTAGTCTATGGTGGCTAAGCGCTGGATCCGGCTACAGAGCACGCTGCTCTGTCGCTGAATTTTGGGCGGCTGCTGATCAGACGTGGGCACCGAGGCCGTGGCGGGCTCC